CGTCGACAGGCCCGCGCAGAGCTGCGCTCTCTGCGGGCGGAGCTGGGGTTGGCGCGCGTCGAGGGCGCAAAGGCCGAGGCCCGCAACAGGGTGAGCACCGGGGGCCCGCCTGCCTCGTGGGCGCGGGGCTTGGGGCACGCCTGCCGGGCGGGGGCAGCAGTCGAACTTGCCGCGGTCCGGCGGGTGGCGCGCTCGCTGTCGGACGCCGCGGGCTTGTGCATGCACGCGCTTGTTTACAGCAGTCAAACGAAGTCCGGCCGGCCGGCTTCAAAAGCTGCCCTTCTTAATCAGCAGGAGTCTTTGAGTTCAAGAAGCATCCTGCTGACAAACATTCCTTTTGGGACCGAGCCATCCCAGCCTTGAGACTCTCACAATTCACAGACTCGCCTTCAAACACAGCACCATCCTGTCACCCCACCCATCAGGAGCTCGAGAGCGAGATAGCCCAGCTGAAGGCCAAGATTGGGGCCGGCCGCTCCCGCACGCGCGCGACGCTGGCTGAGGCCTCGCGCCTGCTGGAGCAAATGGACGCCGCCGCCGCCCCTCCCCCGCCCCGCCCGGCGGAGGCCAAGCGGCCGGGCGGCCTGCTCAACCTGTTTGGCCTGGGAGACATCAGATTAGGGCCGCAGCAGCCGCCGCCCGCGGGTCCGCCCTCGCAAGTGCCCAAGGTTGCGGCCGCAGCCGCCGCCGCCCCCGCGCCGGCCGGGCCCGCGCCCGAGCCAGAGCCTGCGGCGGCGCCGGCGGCCGCGGCGGCCGCTGACGTCAGCGCAAGCAGCGGCGGCTCCTCCAAGCCCAGCGCCGGCACCTTTGGATCTGCGCCCGCCCCCGCCGCCCCCGCCGGGGCGCCCGCTGCCCAGGCGGCGCCGGCCGCCGTTGTCAAGCGCATTCCTGCGGCGCCCGAGGCCACGGCCAAGGCGCGGCGGCGGGCGCGATAGATCTTCTGACCGTCTTCAGTATACAGCCAGGTGGTTGTAGCTCGCCTCTGCGTCGCCCGCCCCTTCCAGAGAGGCGGGCCTGGCCCTGGTCGCCCGCGCCCCCTGCATGACTCATACAGAGGCCTGCAGAGAGGGGGCGCTTGCTTGGACGGATCGGGCAAGGCGGCGCGCGGGACCGCGAGGACTGATCAGGCGTGCGACTTCTGGCGGCGCCGCCACGACAAGTGGTGGCGGTGCCACCACCCAGGTCGCGAATCACTGCCCCGCGCTGCCTCGTCAGGCTGGGCGCGCAGGGATGAGACACACAAGAAAACGCCGCCAAGCACTGCGCCACGCACGAAGCGCGGACACCGTTTGCTGCCCAACGTGCAGCCGCGGGGAGCGGCGAGTGCGGCCGCACGCCGCTGACGTGCCCCACTGTGGCCCATTGTGTACACCGCGCGACCCGATATGATGCACTTTCCAGCCCATACCGATTGGATCGGATTCAAATCTCTTCTCGTGTCCGGGCAGCCGCCCTGCAATCGCGCCGCCGCCGCGCCCCTGCGTACGTGGCCCAGATATTAATTCCACGTGCGCGGCGCGAACATGTATTTGCAAGAGATTGTGTCAAGAAGTATGTGTGCGTGCGTCTGTGTTTGTGTGTACGGGCGCGTGCGATCGCGGTGTGCCAGTAGTGTCCCAATTGTGGACCTGCATTGCATGCAACGTGTCCGATCTGCTGCGGTCGTGTGCATCGTCTGCTGATGTCATTGCGCTTGACGTGTGCTGTGGCTGTGCGTGCTCAAGTGTGTTGAGAGGCATGTTTCGATGCGTGCTTGAGCGCGAAACTCAAATCAAAACAGGGTTCCGGGAGTTCTAGACTCGTGCTGTTTCGACTGGTGCTGTTTCGATACCCTTCAGCCCATCGCGCTGCCAGAGCGCAGGGGCAAGCATCAATCCTTGAGCCGCCGCAGCCGTGACCGCGGCTCGCGGCCCTTCCTCCCCTCCGGCCCCTTCATGGGCAGTGATCACGTTATTGCGTCTGCGCACAGCAGCCTGAGCTTGATCTGTGTGTGCTATCGCCGTGCACGCCTTCTCTCGTCGGTCCGGCATCGGGCCCCCATGTGGTCAGCCGAGCGTTGCCAGTTAAGACGGCCCCGTGCCCCAACCAGCCCGCCTGCAGGCCCCGCCCTCTGCGCGGCGGCGGCCAGAGGAGGCGTGCGACGCGCGCGTGAGTCCCCCCGAGGGTGCGCGCCGCGCGTCGCCGCCGCCTCGCCAGGCTTTGTTTAGTCCATTTCGTGTTGCACCGTTTCGTTTGGCTCGTGCTTTGTGTAGCTTCGGTCGTGAGAAGTGATGAGGCGCTTTGCGCCCTCTGTAACAATGCTGTCGCAGCGGCGACACCCCCCAAGGAGAGTGGCGTGCAGGGGCCCACAACCCCCGTGGGGGCTGCTCGAACCACATCCGCAGAAAACAACGCAGATCGCACAGACTCCGCCCACGGAAGCGCGCTGCTTGGGGCTTCCTAGCTGGCCCCTTTGCCTCGGCGCTGCCGCCCATGTCCGAGGGTGCGCGGGGGCGCTTTCGCGCCATACATCCAGAATGACTGACCATCCGTCCTGATCTTGCACGCATGCTTTCCCCCCGCCCCATCGCAGCGGCCCCAGACCCCCACCATTCAGCCACTGACTTCTCCCCCAAAGCGCGCCGTCTGCGTCTCTGCCCGTCACTCGTCACCCCGCATGACGCGGCCCAACCGATTACAGACGACGCGTCGCTCACTCGTTACAGAGCAATGGCCGCTCAGATATGTAAATACGTACGTTCGGCAGCACACAGCACGCCGCGCATCGAATAAGCAAAGCGTCAAACCGGGCGAGCATGCACCCCCGCCCCTGCGCTTCGGCCTCCACAATCCTTAGCAAGCAGCCCGAGCAGATCGCCCGCCCCTGCGGCGGGC